ATATATATATATATATATATATATATATATATATATATACGTATTGTAGAGTTAACGTCCTATAAGAGAAGAATTATTATTCACCCACCAATATATAAATATAAGTGTTGTATAAATATACTAAGCATTGAATGTTAATAAACACAACAGAGTAAATGCTGAATTCACTTTTATTAATTCTTTCTTATAAAAACAATAACAATGGAGTTTGTCTTTGACTAAAAGTAGCCCCAATCTGAAAATAGGCTATGTCTATCGAATATTCAAATTGAAGGCGATATAACTTGAATATAATCATATTTTTGATAATCTGAATTTTCTAACTATTACCTAATTATTGCTTGGTTTCATAGTTCCACCATATATTACAATGATCAGTGACAGCACGGAAGTTAATATAGAAGAAAAACGAATATTATTATTGTATTGTGTTGCGAGCGGTGTTCCAACGCCAACAGTTCAGTGGGTGAATAGAACTGAACCTAACGAGTTCAAACATATTGGCGAGTCATCTAATACACAAGTAATCTACAAACTAACAGACATAACTTCAACAACAAGGTATGAGTGTGAAGATTTTAGTTGTTACTTCTTCTGCTGCAGCTCCTACAGCCGATATCGCCACTACTACCGCCGCTACTACCGCCACCACCACAATTACCGCCACATCGCCTACCTTTAATATTACTAATAATAATGTCAAAATATTTCTCTTTGTATTATTTATAGGTTCTCTTGTTTGGCCGTAAACGACGTAGATGAAGTACGTAGTGAAGATGTGATTATCTCATTAGAAGGTAAAATCTGTCTCTTATACACATCTAGATGTGTATAAGAGACAGCTATCAGGCTTTACTTTCCACCTTTGTCATCGTCCACCTATTTTCACAGTCTCCTTTTGCGTTCGTCCCTTTCGTAACCCACCTCTACGCTTTGCACGGTTACATATTTTCCTCCTTTCTTATGTTCATGCGCCTTTTGCCTTCCATACGTATTTACCGGTTTTTGGTTGGTCGCTCTGGCGTTTCGGGTTTTTCCCCAGTACTTTTGTTTTTCCCCAATATTTTGTTCTCATATGTGTCACTGATTTCTATGATTGTATTATAGTGTATATAAGAGAGTTGTTTTGTACAGTGACACATGAACGATAGCAAGATCATATGACAGATTAGTTCTACACACTTTTATCCATTTCTGAAGTGCATTGACTGCTAATAGAGAGCTGCCTCCCCCCCGCCCCCTTCAGGGAGAAAAACCACAATTCGTCGACGACAAAAAAATGTATACGATTTTCTACATAGGCCTATTAGTAGACCCAAAATCGATTAAATAAGCCGTTAAAACCCCCTAAATTGTCATATTTTTCGCCCCCCTGTAACACTTTCGAGAGATTTTGAGCGACGCCCGACCACGCTCCATTTTTTCGTCGGCAATCCTGGTGCCAACCCTGTGTTTCACAGATTTCTCTGACAGGCGTAATCCTGATTTAATGGGTGGTAACCTTATTACGTAACAATTTACACAGTCAAGCGTGGGTTGGAGCTTTGACTTGATTTGCGGTCTTTGCATCTTAGTCGCCTTAAGCTTTGTCTTCACTATCAAATTTTATGTGACAAAAAATGTGATGTGCCAATATATGGGTACGATGACGTCATATCACATATAATCAAATATCAAACAAAGCTGAACGTGTTCAACTCTATGTTCCATCAAATTTTATGTGATGCTTTTTTGATGAAATTTGATAGTGTAGACAAAGCTTTAGAACGAGTGCATTACAGTATTCAATTTCCCTGCAAATAATTGGCCACCTCCACCCATATGGGGTGCCATACCTGTCTCTTATACACATCTAGATGTGTATAAGAGACAGTTAGTGGTTTACAAAACAATCAATTAATATTAAGAGCTGTTGAACATCCAGTACATTTGGTATTTACATGACATGCACTTAAATCTATTCAATATATGCTGTAAATATAATAGGAACTCTGTGTGAATACTGAGGTCTTTTGCGTCTTTGGTGAGAAATTACCAATTAATATATAACTTCAATCAACAATTAATTAATTTCTTTTTCAATACATCATCAGTTCCTTCACATTCTTTACCTTGTTTTATTACTGCTAACCACAAAAACTTTACCATTGGATGAAAAGATTACATGACATTAAATGTGAATTATTTCAATAAATGATGACTGCCCCAAATTCTATTAACATCTGTTTTTCTTTTAAACTCCTAAATTGCATGTTATTTTTTTCACACCAGCCGTCTACTAATCTATTTTTTCCACTCGTTTTTTTCGTAGTCCCATTGTGATGCGACGCCTGTCACAGGGTTGTTACGGATAGATATATTGTATTTCAGCTGTTCTTCTTGCCATTCTTCATTCAAACTATGTGGCAATTCTGGTGAGACTGTTTAAAGATAAGAAATTTTTAAATATAAACAAACTTCCTTGCACTTATGTAGTATATGCATAGTTGCAGGTGTATTAGAATTCAACCACCTCCCTCCCACCCCATCCTCCCCTGGGACACAGGGCTATATACCTGTCTCTTATACTCATCTAGATGTGTATAAGAGACAGGTATTGTAGAGTTAACGTCCTATAAGAGAAGAATTATTATTCACCCACCAATATATAAATATAAGTGTTGTATAAATATACTAAACATTGAATGTTAATAAACACAACAGAGTAAATGCTGAATTCACTATTATTAATTCTTTCTTATAAAAACAATAACAATGGAGTTTGTCTTTGACTAAAAGTAGCCCCAAGCTATATAAGTAAACAATAATAATAATAATAATAATAATAATCTGAAAATAGGCTATGTCTATCGAATACGGTATTCAAATTGAAGGCGATCGTCAACTGACGTAATATAAATGCGAATGTATAACTTGAATATAATCATATTTTTGATAATCTGAATTTTCTAACTATTACCTAATTATTGCTTGGTTTCATAGTTCCACCATATATTACAATGATCAGTGACAGCACGGAAGTTAATATAGAAGAAAAACGAATATTATTATTGTATTGTGTTGCGAGCGGTGTTCCAACGCCAACAGTTCAGTGGGTGAATAGAACTGAACCTAACGAGTTCAAACATATTGGCGAGTCATCTAATACACAAGTAATCTACCAACTAACAGACATAACTTCAACAACAAGGTATGAGTGTGAAGATTTTAGTTGTTACTTCTTCTGCTGCAGCTCCTACAGCCGATATCGCCACTACTACCGCCGCCACAACTACCGCCACATCGCCTACCTTTAATATTACTAATAATAATGTCAAAATATTTCTCTTTGTATTATTTATAGGTTCTCTTGTTTGGCCGTAAACGACGTAGATGAAGTACGTAGTGAAGATGTGATTATCTCATTAGAAGGTAAAATTCTACTCAGTCTTGAAATTAATAATATAAAAATAATCAATTATTGTTTTTAATTAGTATTATTATTATTAAATTGGCCTTTGATAACACATTTGTCATTTTCTTTCATTTGCTTTTTATTGCTATCATTGATTGCTGTAATAACCTAATCTCTTTCGAATAAAATATTAATTTCAAAACAATATACAGATAAAAGAAAAACAAATGGAAACAGATAACTGTTGAGAAGCGTATTCTAGGTTAGCACATGCCTAAGCGAATTATATTGCGCCTAAACCATCAAAAATAATTGATGGCACTTTTATGCGATATCTTAGAATTTGTTAATTGTTTGATGTCGGCCCTGTATATAAATCTAATAGCTTTACACTCTGGTCATACTTACTTGCTCATTATAAAGTTAGAACAATCTCAGTGTCATTCTATGTCTTGAATCCGCCTACACAAAATTCACCGGCGAGGAGAATCCAATACTTTTGTGACGAAACACTGCTCTAAAAAACATTTTTTTTTTGCAACTTTGGAGTGCCATTTCCGGCATCTGAGGAGCTATATCTTAAAATATGTTAATGAAATTGATGTCCGTCCTGTGTAACCTCACACGCACACAGCCCAATCATAGATTTAATCGGATCATGCTTACTTATCATCGACTGTAATGTATACAATTATTGGCTCCTTAAGTTTCCATAACATTCAACTATTTACCTCACAACTTTTACCCACTCATTTAATATTGTGCGGTATATGCTAGTAAGTAATAAAAAAATATATAAATAAAAATATAAATAATAAAAAAACATATATAAAAAAAGAAATATATATTATATATATATATATATTATATATATGTTAAAACTTTTTGGACAGTATGTGTATATAAAAACAGATTAAAGTAAAACAATGATGTATAACCTCGGAAAGTATTAAATATGTACATGGATTATGTTAGACTATTTCTGTTCATTTTAATTGTTAAATACAATTTATCAGCAACCAGCCTTCCGTTTCAGATGATTAATAATTTTGTATGCATAGAAGCCTCGGCTCTTGCTGAGTTATGATGGTAATAATTCAATCGCCAGAATATTCA